GAAAGAAAGAAAGAAAGAAAGAAAGAAAAAAAGAAAAATGAGAATGAACAGAGATTACCTATCTCATAAATGGCTTTATAGGGCAACTAGTGGATCAAACTCTGTTTTGAGTGAAAAAAGAAAACAGTCCTCTTGTAGTGTTATAGATCAACCAGTATGTAAAGGCATCTGGAATGCAATAGGAAATCAAGTTACCCTGAGCTGACTGTAATGCTCCAAGTTACTTGGGAGACTAAAGCAGGTGGATCACTAGAGCCCTGAACCCAGGAGTTGGAGGCCAGCCTGCACCACCCTGTCTCAAATTTTAAAAATAAAGGTTATCCTGGATGCTAACATAAGCATGATGCTCATAACAAAATGAGACATTTGGTGGTCTTAAGAGAGACTGATTTTATTATTGCATGTAAGAAAAACGTAAATAGTGTGGAGATAACAGGAAGACTGACAATTTAAAACTCTCATATTCTTCAACCCTTCTATTGAAGAGTGTGGTCTACTTCATCGCCTTTGGAATTTATACTCATTTTATCAGGTGGGTTTCTTTGGTTTTGAGACAGGGTTTCAGTGTGTTGCCAGTCTTGCCCAAGCTAGCCTCAAGTTCCTGATCCTCCTTCCTCTGCCTCCTGCATTGCTGGATACTGCCACATCAGACCTGGACTTTGTGAGTTGATCAGTGACTAGCTTACCATAGTGCTACTTTCTAGGCCCCAGATGGGAGAAACTAGCAGCATATCCTCCTGTCTCTGGGAACATTCAGTCTTAAAACCAGGTGTCATCACAGCTTACCATAGTGCTACTTTCTAGGCCCCAGATGGGAGAAACTGGCAGCATATCCTCCTGTCTCTGGGAACATTCAGTCTTAAAACCAGGTGTCACCTGTGCAAGAGTCCATGGGGAGACACCCACGGGGGAAACTGAATCACCATCCTCCCACATCTCGCAACTGTCATCCAACCATCTTGGGAATAAATCTTCCAGGCTCAGTCTGCTTTACCTACCTCCCTGCAGACTGTTAGAGCTTCTTTGTCTATATGCACAGAAAGCTGATAGTGACTGACAGTTTATATTCCGATAAAAAAGCATTTGACTGAGTTCCCATGGGCATTCTTTTGGTCCACACTTAGCTAGGTGGCTTGGAATTTACTAAGGAGAAGAAACATTTGCTTGTAAGCTCTCTGAGTATGGATGTCTTTCCATAGAGAGCTGGGAATCTTTGGAAATAGATCACTTTACCTGTCCCTGTAGACATTAGATACAGTGCTGTACACAGCTGCAGCATCTGCTGCCTACATAAGGCTGCTGCAAATGCCCAGAATGGTGGACCAGAGAAACAGAGAACCTGACCTGGAGAATTCTGAGTTTTCAAGTCTACCAACTCTGACGTTCCTTTGGCCATTCAGAGATTTCTAGGTGATAAAAGTACTGAGAAATATTGACTGTTGAGTGCTCAGCCATAAACGGGACATCCATATCAACCAGATACACACACCCAAGGTTCACTGAACATCAAAGAAGATGGAACAGAAACAATGTAAGAGCTAGAGGATGGGGAGAACTGCTGTGAATGTTGTCTTCTGGACATGATATGGCTGTTACACTCCTGAACTTACTGCAGCCATGGTTACCTGCCCAAATCAAGTCAACAAGATCAGTCAACATCCCAGCAGGCATTTGAACTCAGTAGGAAGGAAGAGAGAAAAAGAGAGGAGGGAGGGAGGGAGGGAGAAAGAAGGAAAAGAGAGGAAGGAAGGGAGGATGGAAAGGAAAAGGAAAGACAGAAGGAAAGCAGGGAGGTAGGAAGGAAAGATGGGGGGAGAATGTGTTGATGAGCTTCCAGGAGGAGTGGGAGAGGGCTTTTGGATGGGTATGATCATGATACATTGCATATATGTATGAAAGAGTCAA